TTAATAATAATACATAAACATAATTTTTTTTATCTAAAATGAATAAGTTACGATACGAATTTAGTGAGGAAAATAGGAGATATTTATTACATTTCCTAAAAGTAGCAAACGAACAAAAGTCAAATAATCATTGCAACATCAATGAATATAAAACTTTCAAAACATTATTTCCTTTAGTAATTTTTTTTTGTATTATTATTTAACTTACTAATATATAAAATTTTTAGGATAACAAATTTGAAAACGATTTGGATGATTATATCAGTAAACAAAATACAATTATAGACATAACTGAAAGTGATGAAGACAGCGTTGAAAATGTGTTTGAACAACTACTGCAACAAAATTTGCCCCTAGATGAAAATTTAGAAAAATGTGAACAAAACTTAAGTCAATCAATTATTGATGATATAACTTATTCAATCAAGGAAAATTTAGAAACGCAAAAATGTCTTTCTAGTTCCGTATTATGTCATTTGGAAGATTCTAATGTTAATCAAGATGCAATCTTCTCATTATTATCAGAACAGTTAAATTTTGAAGAAGTTTTAAACTTTGGTATCTCTTTGAAATCCATTCCAGTCGGTAGCAATTTGCTTGTATCTTATTACTTCAGATATTTATTAATAAAAAAGGTAGGTATTAAGTACACAGTAAAATACAAATTTAAAAAGTCTGAGAATGTTTGAATAATACTCCTGAATATGTGGAAGCGAATGAGCTCATGCTGTGGAGAAGAATTAAGGGAAAACATAGAAAATTACAAATTGAGTTAAAAATATTTCATTAAAATCATATTTTTACAATAAAATCAGATATAAAAAAAACTGACAATTGGAAAAATAAAAGTAAATAAAATAGTAGGTAAAACGATTGATAGAAAATTCCGAATCTATAATATAAAAATGTAAATCATCTGATTTTATACTATTCTTAAAATAAAGTATTCGTTTACATCAAAAGATAGTAATTATAATGTAAGTGAAAGGTCGAGTCATTTTTATTTGACAAAAAATCTATAAAATGCTGCCTCTAACAAAGTGGCACCTCGAGGTGACAGTCTCAGTGCCTCTTCCCACATGCTGGCCCTGGCTGTTGCATTCTTTTAAAATATTTAATTATTTGTAAATGTTCACTTCTAGCTCACCCTGGACTATTCAGATCAGCTGCAAGAAGTTTTAAATGAATTTAGTGTAAAATATTCAGACATTTTACTGGAAGAATTGACAAAAACTTTATTATCTACAGAAAGTCAGTCGAAGGTTTTTCTGCAATTTGTCACAGGATTAAATACGGATTTTAAAACAAAAATGTTTAGGTAAGATCATAAATTTATATTGAAGAATAAAATGTATAATTACTTTTTTGCTTTAGGAAATTTATATTCACTTGTGAAAATTATATTGGAACTATAGAAATTTTGATCAGCTCCCAAGTAGAATATGATTCACTGAATAGATTAATTGAGATAATGTCAAATGCCACGAATAACTTTAACTCTGACAAATCTTTTGGCAAATTACTAATGAGCGTAATAAAATTCTTAGGAAAAAATTGCGCATTATTAGAGCAGCCACTGAAACACATAATTGGTACACATAGGTCAATATGGAAGGCAAAATTACAGAAAATCTTTGAGGATTGTTTGCAAGATAGTTCAGTTTTGACTCAAAGTTTTAGGTATTGAGAGAGAAATGATTATTAGACCAACTGTTCCTTTTTTTTTTTTTTTAGTGAACTTGTTATTTATTATTTTGTATATAAAATGTAATAAATAAATCAAATGTAGTAATGTACTCTTTACAGCTAAATATCATGCGGCATTTATTGGTAAATATCAAACTTGTCCTTTGTTGATTATATAAAAAAAGTTTTATTAATCTTCACTGTTGTAAAGTTAAGTCATATCCTGCAAAAGCTGCAATTAACAGTTCTCACTTATGATTTGATTAAATTTCGAAGGATTATTGGTGCCATAGTGTCTTGAATCAACTTGAAGGACCTCATGATGTTACAGGTGTTTTTGTCATTGATTTCTAAAATTCATTTCTCTCATAACAAAAATTACATTGATATGTTTACACAGTAAAACCAGTGTTTACAAAGTATAGTTGGCAAACCTTATGGAACTTCGAGTTAACATATTTGAGTAGTTCTGTACACAATCCCCAGAGGACGAGGACATAATGTGTGCAACAGTGCGACTCGAAATGGTTAAAAGCTTGGCTAAACCCTTTTTTACCGTCTGTTACCTATTTTCAAATATGTATTTGTTTGCAGTTATTTTTATATTCATGTTTTTTTGGTCAAAATTTAAATTCATTTTCCAAAATATGTTAAAAAAAATAAATTTTATTGTTGAAATTGTTTCTTTCCCCAGTCACTACCTTGGATAGGCCTTTTAGAACATCACTTATAAATGACAATTTCCGTGAATATTGGGGCCAGCTTCTCGATCGGCATGCCTTTCCCATGGGAGAGTATGTGCGTGCGCAGTGAGTTCTCGACCGTATTCCTTATTTATTCATTCAATTTATCTACAAACGCCGCAGTGCATAGATGGCTGACGTGAGGAAAAAAATGAATGGGATAACAACTACGTTATAGTCTAGGCAATAGCTTGCAAATTCGACGAAAGTTTGTTTACCATCTACCAATCGGTAATCAAAGAGACCATATGAATACAATACTTTTTTCTCTTGAAATTTTTGGTACGGCGGCCCGATCGGGGGGGGGGGGGGCAGTTTTTTTTTATCAAATAGTTACTGATATTTGTCCGCATAAGTAGTTAGTAGATGAACTGCACATATCCCAATGAGGGAATTCACCACGAGAGGCGTTAGTGTAAGGTAAGGTCTATGTCACTGAACGTTAATTTTTACTATGGCTTTTTAACGCTAGCTCTTAGTAATTTTTATAAAAAATAGCTGAAAAACATTTAACACAATGATGGCAGAAGGAGAGAGTAGTAATTTACTTGCTCAGTAAGGAAATTATTGGACCTTTCAGAGGTGTCTTATGTCATTAAAGTTAGGTTATATCAAGCATGAGGATGATGAAAACAACGAATGTGCATGATTATTACTTAGATTTTCTGTAGTAGACTCCTTTTGGTAACACATAATCGTCAGGATTAAAATGTTCCGTACAAACACACCAATGTTTCGAAGGAGTAAAGTTATCCCTGCGAATTGCTACCAACCACTGTTTTAGGCGAGTTTTGTCTTTCAGAAGCATATATCCATCTTTTGTTTCCGTACAATATGGAACTGCACAATAATGAGGCATAATTAACAAGTTTTTTTATTTACTGGTGTACGAAATAATTATATTAAAATCCTATAAACTTGTACCGCGCCAAATAACTTTTTACAGGCCCTTACTCGCCAGTGGCGCCAACTGGTGAGCCTAAAAACCTTCGATCACACTCGAAGCTAAAAACCATAGCCCTCATTACGTTGGCAGACAAAACTTCCGGTCGGCGTGCGGTAATCAGAAATTGAAAAAAAAAATTTTTTAGTTACTGGACCAAACCTAGGGCAAAATGTTTGTTTTGGTGTGTACAGTGTGGGCAAATTTCGATGTATGTATAGGGTAACTCGGTACTGTAAGAGATACAAAAAAATGGAAGACACATTCTCGATTTCTTTTTTTGAGACATCCACTGGCGAAAACAAAAATTTGCTATCATCTTTTGTTTTCGAGTTATAAACAAAAGTTCGATTTTTCGATAATATCCTGGTTGTAAAGTTATGAAAAAACAACTTTTACATTCTTCAGGCACTTTTTTTGTATAATACAGTGGCGTCGAGAAAATAAAAAAAGGTACAATTTCGAGTTATGGCATAAAGTTGTATTTTTTTTTTAAATGAGAATCATAGTTGCCTATGGATCTAAAAAGGCAATTTTTTTGCTCTTTCAAACTTTATATCATATGTGGGGTCGCTTTTGATGTGTAAGTATTTAATAGAGAAAATAATCTTTTAGTAGATTACTTTTGCGTTTTTTTATATTTTATTCCAAGTAGGCGTGTGTCATCTATGACAGTGTTTATCCGTTTGTCAGTAAATTGCATATTAAAATTTTTGTTTCCGTCATAATTACACCCCATTTAATCATAAAAGTGAAGATGTCTTATGAAAATTATGAGAAATGATATACTAGAAAAGATATTTATAATTTTAGAGCTCTCTTGCAAAAATTATTTTTAAAAATTCAAAATATACTAATTTATTGAAAAAAGTAAATTTATATTTCTGAAATTTAGTGAGAAGGCATAAATTGCATTCTAAACAACTTTTTTTTAATGGACTTTTTTCATATCTTGAAAAATAAAGGTAATTTATCAATGACGATTTTTATAAATTAACTTATCGATCCACTTATTTTCGATATATCTTAGTTTTATATCAAGAAGAACTAAATCCCTGTGTCATTCCAAAATTCGACAATTTATTGGCCAGGGCATGGTAGCCGAGTGGATAAAGCGCTTATAGCCATTTACTCGGTAACAAAGATCGAAGCAAGTTAGACATTTTATTTGAAATTTTTTTAGGACTAAGATGGAACAGGGAATTGTCGATGCCCTAGATGTGGTTCGGCCTCCACAATAAACTTGTAGAGCTTCGCCTCTCTTTCCTAACACAAAATCCTAGGATTTTCTGGGGGTTACTTCGGTGACTTGAGACAGTTAAAAATGTTAAAGTATATCCAAAAAAATATACTATCAGTAAATTTAAATAAAAACCAAAATTTTCAAAATATTTACCTATTCGTGTTAAATTTTCAGATTTAATTTTAGTCAAATTATTGTCAAAAAAAAAACATCTACCAGTTTGACAAATTAAAATAAAATTAAACACCACAGGAAATACAACCCCCTCTATCCCTGAAGATATTTCAAGTTATTTTGTGTGGGGGAGGGCTACACATTTAAAGACAATGGACACACACCCAATGTCCGAGTCTGCAAGGATTAATTTCTGGTTTAGAAAAAATCCAGTCTCCTAGACCAGGGATGGAACCCGGGACTCCAGGGTGAGAGACAAGTGTCTTTACCATTCGACCAAGATGCCAATTAACAAAAGTACATTTATAGAATAAAAAATACATAAAGTATTTTAATAAAACATCATTTATGCACAAAGATTATGTATAATATTAGGAATGGGCCTTGTTGACAGTTCTTGAAATTGTGGAGACTCCATCAACAAATTTAGTTCGGTATAATACATTGGCATTATTAAACATTCCATCTTTCAGTGATACTATAATAAACTGAAAAAAAAAACTTTTTGTTCTGTAATATGATACTAGTACTATAGTATTTACCTGTGATTTTTTAAAATGGCTTTTTAACATGTTACCAATATTTTGAGTATGTGATAAATCTAAAGCGGCATCTACTTCATCCAAAATATACAATGGAGCAGGTTTAAAGAGCAGCATGGCTAGAATTAGAGACAAAGCAGCTAATGATCTCTGTCCACCACTGAGTTCTGTCAAACTTTCTTTCCAAACTCCACCTAGCGATACTTTAACCTAAAAAAAAAAAAACCAAAAAAAAGATTTTTCATTATTTGAATTTAAGGAAAATGAAAATGTTGCGTGTAGTATACAAAATAAAAATGTAATCTATTTTTTGGTAAATTTCCTGGAAAATATACATACATATATGTATATATTTATAATATACTAATTTTGTTTTTAGCTGTAATTTTTTATGTTTTTAGTACTAACTAGGTATTTAACATGTAAAAAAGTTATGAAAGGCTTCCATACAAATAAACAAAGAATTACTTTTCTTTATTCAACTTTTTGATTTTTTTTAAGTAGACTTTTTTTTTATTCGATTGTGTTGAAAAGTGACGTGTTTTGGTTCTAATAGTTGGATGAAAAGATCACCTTTTTACAACAGATATTACTTTTTGTTGTAGTTGCTAGGCGACTACATTTCCCTGACGAAAAGTACTTTTCGGGTGGTAAAAGTTTTAAACAAAATAATGATCAATGTATAAAGAAATGGAAACAAACTGTCATAATATTCTTATTAGATTGCGTCAAAGTGATGTGAGGTCGATTACGACTGGATTTTTCAATAAAAATAAATATAACAAATAAATTTTCACTTCATTCTTACAATGGAAAAAAAATAGTTTATGACAAACGAAAATCTGTAATCGCACGAAAAAAACTGTATTTTTTGTCCTTGTGTCATAAATAACTGTCAAATAAACCTATTAAAAAAAAAAACTTTTATAAAACTTTCTTTTAATTTAAACGTGATTACCTCTAATCCCTCTAAAACAGTTTTCCCTGGAGGTGGAACCAGTTTGGCATTTGCCCCTGGCAAAAGAGTTGTAAATATTGACCCAAAATCCTTAGACACCTGTTCATATGCTAATTTTAATGAGTTTTTTTTCTTTTGATCTAGTTGAGCCATGGTAGACAACAATTTCCTCTTATCATTTTCTACGATTGTTTGCTTCTTACGCAGTTCATTAAACTAAAACAATAAATGGCTCATTTTCAAGTGGCACTACTGCTATATTACAAAATTAACCTGCTTCTCTTCATGTTCAAACATACTCTGTGCTTTAGTGTTAACTGTTCTGCCTAGTTTTTGTTTTTTCTCTTGAGAAATTTTTATTCTTCTTTCCAAATCTAAGCCGTCCTTATGAGATAGTTCTTCGGCCTTTTTCCAATACACATTATCTTTTGAGATTCTCTTCGAGTACTCTTGTTCCTAATTAAACAAAACCAGTTACTTGGATAGACAGAGTTATTAATATAATACATATATAATATAAATGTATATACATATTTTTTTTATTTTTTACTTACTTTACTCTTGGATTGCTTACATATATCTTGTAATTTCTTTAATTCATGGGCAAATTCTTTTATTTTCAGCTGAAGTTCATTATTTTTTGTAATTAGATCCTCTTTCTTATTATTTTTCTTCTGTATCTCTTTATTCTTTTTCGGTATTACGTTTTTTGCCTTTTTAACTTCATTTTGCAATTTTTTTACGGTTTCCTAAAATTGATAACAAATACTATTTAAGAATTTTTCAAACAAATTTATGGGCTAGGAATGGAAAATTGTATGTCTCCGGTTTGTTCGGACCTAGTTATGTCACAGTTACAGGAAATTTGTTTAAATAAATTGACTTTCAATGTTCCTATTTTCAAAAGGTATGTTGATGATATTTTCTTAGTTATACCTAAAGATAAAGTCGAAGAACTTTTGTACGTCTTTAACAGCTTTCATGAAAAGTTACGATTTACAATTGAAATTGAGAAAAACAACAAAATTTCATTTTTAGACACAGAAATTATAAGAACACCTGAGAATAGAATACTTATTGATTGGTACCATAAACCAACCTTTTCAGAAAGATTTTTAAATTTCAATTCCCAACATTCGATTAAAACTAAACTTAATATAATTAAGAATTTAAAACACAGAGCTATAAATTTATCCAGTCCCCAATTTCATGAAAAAAACTTACAACTAATTAAAATGTATCTTATCAAAAATAATTTTCCGATATCATTAATCAATAGAATATTACAGAATAACAATAATAGTCAACCAATTAGACCTTTACTAACAGAACCAACATTTTATTATAAACTGCCATATGTAAGAAATCTTTCGGAAAAGTTAAGAAAGGTCCTCATGTCAAACAAAATAAATATAGCTTTTAAAAGTGAAAATACGATCAAAAAGAACTTTTTTTACCAAATTAAAAACTAAAACACCAACAGACTTACAATCGAATTTAATATATAAAATACCATGTAAAAATTGCAATAAAAGTTATATAGGTCAAACAAGTAGGTATCTAAAAACAAGGAAAAAAAACATATGAGAGATGTCAAAAACAAAAATAAGCTTAATATCACATCTTTGGTAGAACATTGTAAATTTTTAAATCATGAATTTAACTTTGACGAAACCGCAGTGATAGGTAAACAATCTAATCTAGAAAAAAGAAAATTTCAAGAAATGATAAACATTAAAAAATTCGAATCAGTAAATTCAAGAAAAGACACTGAAAATTTAAACTCTTGTTATTTCAATCTAATTAATAAAATGAAGACTTTATAATACATTAGATATTTTAAAATTATCAACCTATTTACATCTTTTCGTTCCTTTCTACTTTAAGCTTGTTTACTTATTATATAAACAAACATTTTAGTTTCCAAACACTTATTCATCCCTTATCTACAGTAAGTTTAACAGTGCTAAAAAATAATCTCATTAGTGTCACAGCCTCGACGAGAATAACACATATTTCAAGAAATATATAAAAATTTTTCATTTCTGTATGCGCCAGTATACCGAGTATTTTTTTCAATAAACGCAATATTATAGTTACCAAGTATGTTCCTGCCATTATGTTTTTTATACACGAGAAACACTAAATTTTAATGTGAGTATTTGTTTATAATTTTTATATATCACTAACCTATAACTAATTCTAAATAATAAATGAAGTGCCTAAAATAAGTACATGTTTTCTACAATCTGTTATAGAATAATTAATTAACTGTTCAATAATATTTCCTCACTATTATTTTGGATTAGAATTTATCACCCATATAGGTATAGAATAACTTACAATCAACTTATTTATATCTTACAGTGCCCTGAGGATGGTAATAAATTATACCGAAACGTCGGCAAGTTAATACAATAGTGTTTTAATTACATTGGACCCAATAACCCAAAAAAATTTGTACTTAAGTATTTAAATTGTGGTCTGGAAATTATTATTATACTATTTAATTATTTCAAATGCACTCATATTCTATTAATTTCGCATTTACCAAAGTTTTTTTTTATCACCCAATGCCTAGAGGTAAGCTCAATAAGGCTTGTACAAACAATGAAACTGTCACCTTTCCTCTCTCTTAGTTGCCTTGTTGAGAGGGGTTGATGTCGTGGAAAGTGTTTTACCGGTTCCGATACACAAATTTATTTAAAGGGCGCTAGTGCACCGAAACACAAGAAAAAAATAAATAAATGTAGGCAACTTTCAGCGGTGGATTGATGGCAGAGCATTATAGTACTGTTCGTGTAAAGTTCTTTCTCACTGAGGGTATAAGTTTTTGTATTATATTAAGATATCGTTAAGCACTGGGGGCATACTACCTACGCAGTGGCTTTATCTACCTAACACTAACAAATATTTGAGTTTAATTAAATTTTAATTTGGTGGATGTCTCTCTAATATTCAGTGTCTGCGCAATGTTTATTAAAAATGATGAAATAAAATTGCCTAACTACATAAAGAGTATGTAATAAACTTTACAATACGTGGTTTATCTGTCTACTACAATAATTTGAACCACAGGTTCTACACTATCAGATTTAAATACCTAAGCTACCGGCCACAGTGGTTTTTAGGCATCTGTTAGTCACATATTCTGAAAATGAAATGAAATAACTACTAGTTTTGAAAATTAACTTAATTTAACCTGCAAGGGAATGAAAGAAAAGGCCGCAGATAAGCTTAACTACAATGCCGAGTATATTATAAAATTAAAACAATTAAAGTGAACAGTGGTGAGAACACAAAACAAAAAAAAATGGTTAAGACGTGTACGCTCAAAAAACTCTTGGTGCAAATTAACAAATAAGCTGCTATAAAGTGTTGATCTATTTTACCAATAAAATACAATATGCAGTCTGGGTCCAAAATAAGGGAACATAAAAAAAAACCACTAGCACATGATAAAAACACAACACTGTACGAGGGGTGGGGGTCACTTGACATGTGGCTTAAAACTTTGGGAAATAAAAAATGAAAAAAAAAATGATGAAGAGTTAATTGTATTTTGGTGGTGAACACAAATTTGATTCGCTAATTTTGAACTTGGTGGTAGCATGGGTGACCCTAGCTTTCTTTTTGAGCTTGGCTTGGTGTGTCTGTGGGTCTGTCATGACCATCGTGAAACTCGAACTTGACCTTACTGTGTGATGCGTTTTTTATCCCTCTGTAAACCGACGTCTGTTTTCAATCGAACATTCTAGCTTTTTTAAGATTGCCAAGATATAATGG